ATACCCTGAAGGAAACAGTACATGGGGTTATGGGTGAGTTGTATGGACAAAAAACAGGTTTTAAAATGATTATCCCATTTACAATGTTCACATATTGTGGCAAGGCAATAAAAAACATTATTCACCAAATCTTATCGTTTTTTTGATTGTTTTTTTTCACCAAACCAGGAGCATATTCTGTAAATGCCCATGTGGTGGTGAAGTCCATAAAGCTTCTTATCTGACTCTGAAAATGTAAATCATACACTATAAAGCTTTAGTGCCACAGTCTTGAACTAACGAAAACAACAGCAGTTTTCTTCTTGTTTTTTCATTGTTTGACTGTGAGACGCTTTCACAAAGTCCCCTGTGGCATTTATCTTCCATTCTGTGAGCGTTCCCCTCGTTCTCACGCGTTCATGCATTGCATAATTTCTCCTATATGCATAAAAATGTAAACATCCCTCCAGTTTTTCCAGCTTGAGCTTTATGGAAATTCTTAGACACAAATAAAGATTTTGGGAACTTTTGGCTACATTGTCAAAATACTACATTGTAATGTTTTAGTCCAACACACACCAGCAGTTCTTGCCTTGTGTTTATTACATCCAATGTGCACATGTCGTTCACAAAACAATACTGTTGAAGGTGGTGTTTGCTCATTGTCTCCATCTGTATGTAAGCAGCACCATACATCACACATACCACAAAAGAATCCATTTACACAGCTGTATTCCTCATCATGTGTTTTTAAATAATACACATGATCATGGCATAGTGCAGCAAGTGACCTTTAACTCTGGCCGTTCATGTTCAAGGATAAAAGCATCACTCTTCCATTCACAGTTCATTCATTGTAATGTTACCTATGGTCACTATAGTCACCTATGGTCACACGGGAGGAGCTCGGAGTAGAGTAGCTGCTTCTCCACATCAAGAGGAGACAGTTGAGGTGGCTTCAGTATCTGTTTTGGATTCCTCCTGGCCGCCTACCTGGGGAGGTGTCCCCGGAGAAGACCCAGGACATGCTGGAGGGACTTAGTCTCTCAGCTGGCCTGGCAACATATCAGGATTCCCCCAGATGCACTGGAGGAAGTGTATGTGCGCATAAAGGAAAGTCTCGGCATGGCTCGACTGCTGGCCCCGTAACACAGATTTGAAAATAATGACTTACAGTAAATACAGCTCAGGCAGATAGATAAAAACAATCTGGCAAATTTATACGGAAGCAATTAATAGTACTTCCAAAATAGATTAGATATTCTCAAAAAAGTACAATCCACTCAGGGAATGCTGTTATGAGAATCAAGATATTTTATAATATCTTTTTGAAAAACTATTTTCCCTGCATATAGTAATTAGTTGAACTTGAATGAAATACTTATGTTACATATTTAGAAATCCCTCTCAGTCCCTAAAATAAACAGTTTTTGTAGCTTTCACGGCATCCCATCACTTTTGCTGAGATCTGTCTGTCCGCTCTGGTCTCTGGAGAAGTGCCGGTCGTGACCTGCAGCTTTAGAAATCTCTGATCTGCCACTCACTCGTAATCAAGATCAGAGGTCACTGCAATGCTGTGCTTTGTGGTATTTTTACTTAGGATCCAAAAGTGGCTGTCATAAATAAGGTTTCACTGATGATGATTAAAGTAGACTCATGCAGCACATCAATGTTACATGGCATTGGTGCTGTTTATCCTTTCAATGAATTGTATCTGAAGCATGACGCTTTGATCTGTTCCCAAACCAACATTGTCCTACTTTTCTTGTGTAAATGTACTTAACAAAATAACCTATTATGCATTTGCTTTGGAATGTATAAAATGTTATTTTATTATATATGTTTTATTTGAATTCTTGCAGTGGGTTAGGTCACCTCTTTGCATTATCTTTTTTTTTTTGTATTTGGTTGGGACAGAGCATGTTAACACACCCCACCAGATTGTAGGGCTAATTTGCAACGCTGTCACACTCACAAACAAACAGCCATTCACCTTCAACTATTGTCTATGTTTTTAGTGGTGTAGAAACCGAAGCAACCGGAGGAAACCTACACAGACACAGGGAGAACATGCATATACCCATTTGGCCTCACCTGTAGGTGGAATCGTACCTACGACCTTCTTGCTGTGAAGCACAACAAGTGCCACAGTGTCGCTTATGAAGTCACTGTATTGTCCGCAATGTAGATCATGGGAAGTTTAATACCGTGCTGCGGAACATTCCATACAAAATATTTAGAGGCACTTGAGCAAAAAACAGGAAAGTTGCGTATGTATATCTTTAAAGCTAGAGTACCTAACTTTGACAAATTAATTTACGTATATAATGCTCAGATTACTAGGCGCAACTTTTGTCAACTGCCTCAAAGCTGGCGCCCCCTTGAGGCTTATGGTCTCCTGTGCAGGACGCTTGAACAGACAGAGGTGAAGAAAGTTTGTGTTGATTTTTATGTTGCCATATCTTTGTTTTCTATCACCATGGGAACCATGATTTAGCAGGCAGCCGTAAGTGGCTGTTGTGAAAAGCTGCCATTGTACTGAACTCCTTCTATCTGGATTTCACTCACACAAAACTGAGTAGCATTCAAGTTTACAAACAGAGGCCCCGATGGTAAACAACAGACAGGTATGGTTTCTTTGAGTTTGACCTCTTCACTTCATGAAAATTTGACGAGAAATTGACACACGGTCTCAAATGTATACCATTCTTTTCGGAAGGCAATCTTCCAGCTCTTTCCACCACACAGTCCATGGCCCTTTGTGTGTAGTACTGCTTTTCATTCATCATTCACCAACGCTGGCGTCATATGTGGCCCATGTGCACCCATGTGTGTGTGTGTGTGTGATATATTTATAGCGCCCGTGTGGCCAGGTGGAGGGGGAAATGTCTTCCCTTGTTTCTGTTCCACGCTGGGCATCAGAACACACTGTTCTCGCTTTGGCCAGAATGACGCCTAAAAATAACCAGGGGCGGACAATACACCTCCCCCACCCATGCCCTTTGAGCCCCTCCTCTCCCCACTCCTCGAAAAGGCAGAATCTTCTTCCAAAAGAGCAGCGGTTTGCATGGCTATTATAATATAAGTTCAATGAAAGCTTGTTTGATATAGCAACGCTGTATCGGTGTAAAATAGCAGCGATGAGACTGAGACTTGCCATCTGAAACGCAAAAATATGCTCAATTATCTGACTTCAACAGTGGCTTGCAAATAGTGGATTCTGCATGCTTGTTAAAAAGTTCAAAATACATTTCTGAGAACTTGCGGAAAGCAGGATTCTCGGGATAATATTCATTTGATCTTCGAGTCCTTGTGTCTTCCTATACCTGGCAGGTAGCTGCTGATTGTGAACCAGATGGACTTGAGAATCCTAAAAGATATACTACAATTATTTTAATAGGTAATAGAGCCAAGAACAGCTGTATTTCACCTCACAAACTAACTGCCAAGCCAAATGAGAGCCTTGTTCTGATTGGATAACCTGCTTGAAAATAATAATAGTAAACATGAATATTATGGACTATTAGGGCTGGGCGATATGGCAAAAAAAAAAAATCTCTGATTTTTTCACACCAAATCCAATTTTCGATTTTAATCGATTTATTTTTTTTCTATTTAAAAACAAACTACAACTGACAAAGAAATATATTTTCCTTTATGCAGTTTAATCTAAATCCCCATGGAGCATAAGTGTAACAGGAATTAAGCCTTAAAACATGCTTGTAAACGAGATGGCTCTGCCATTGTAAACAGTGAAAATGTAGCTTAACAGTTTTATAATAACTTCACTTACAATGACACTATGCACCTTCAAAATAACTTAAATCACACAAACAAGGCCCATCGCAAATATATCAATCCTATTAAACACATGCATTGCACACACATGCACTGATTACTCAAAATAGAAATGTTGTAACAGACAGTCTTTTCCAAAAGCCTCCTCGGGTTTTCATGCTTGTTCTTTCAACTGTGCCTGAGTAACTGTGCTGTAGTACAACGCTCGGTCCAGCTGGTGGCGCTAATACTAACTTCAGTGACTCCCGCATTGTGCGAGCTTCCTGTTTACATTCTGATGCTGTAGCTAGCAGCTACTGTAGCTAACAGACAGCGGGGAACACGTTGTTTGTATCAGAGCAATGAGAGCAATGTGTGAGACGTGTCTTTCCCCAAAGTGCAGCGGCTCAGTGGGACACGAGTGTGTGCGCGCCACGGACACGGGAGTGCGCTTTGGAATAACGAGCGTGAGAGAGCGTGAAAGATGTGGCGTACGAACATGGCGTACGAACATAGCGACCGGAGCCTGCGTGCGTGTGTGTGTGTGTTTTGGCGATTAAATAAAGTCTGATTCTTGAACGTTTGAAGTGTTATTGCAACAGCACCAACTGTGAGAGCGAGCATCAGGCCAGAGGGAGACTGTTAGCATTAGGTTATCTTCAAAATGACTGCTCAACACCATAGACCCGCGGTTAGCGCGTTAGCGCTGTAGTTCTGCGCTGGAGAAAATAAAAATCGAATTTTAAAAAAAAGAAATCGCCCTAAACGTAAAACTCGAATTAATGATTAAAATCGATTAATCGCCCAGCCCTATGGACTATGTTTTTTTAATTAATCTTTTGTCCATTAAACGTCAAATGTGATTTGTACATATTGACCAAATATTTTATATTTATTATATAGATGAAATTCTAAATGAAAATAGTACATTACTTTGCTTTAAGTGAAAGTATCAGTACCAGCTCTTTTTAGAAAAAAGTATAAAGAATAAAATATGACAAAACATTTAGAACTTAAGCTGTACAGTCTGAACTTAGAAGCATGATTAAGCACAACAATTAGTGAACCAGTGAACTAAGCATAGCTAATCACTTTTTCACGTCACGTTGCCATCTGCAAAGTAACTAGTCATTTTAAAATTTAAGGAGTAGAAAGTCCAGCTATTTGGGCCTAAACATGAATAGTAAGAAGTTGTCACCAAAAGTAAAGTAAAAAGACTTAGTTGCTTGCTGCCTCTGGTACCCATGGCCCTTAAACCTGCTGCAGCCCGCTTTACTCGGTCTCACGGCTCTAAGCTGCAGATAAACTCAGATGTTGCTTCTCTTTTGTGTGGTGTTCTGGACCTGGTGTGCATCGGATTGTCCCTGCAGGTGTCCAGGCTCCCGCTGCCCTGTGATATTCCTCAGCTCCACACTATCATGTCTGTTTATTAACACTTCGAAACGACCCATCACCAACGTCATGAGAAGGCGTTGGTTTGGTTTTATCCAATGTTTGAGTAATGTCTTTGTAACATTAGGAGATTACTAATTACGATTTTCTCAATTAATCTCTGAAGTCTGCCTCAGTGTTGGTAAAGTCTATTAATCAGGTATAAGTGGGATTTAAAATGATTGCTGTTATCAATTTGTACAAATATTTATTCCTAAACGCAGTGAATTACCTTCTGCCCAGGATGTGGACTTCTCAAAAAAACTATTTTTTTATAAGCTTAAAGAGAAATTGTGATATGCCGTTTTGGCCATAATAAAAACTAATATCTATGTGTAGTCATTTTGATAATTTACTCTTTTTTTCTGAATCAGAATCAGAAGATTTTTTATTGCCATGTAAGTAAAGTCACAGACTAAGAAATTGCTTTGGCTCTCAGTGCAAGCAAGTCAGAATAGAGAAGAATTAGGCATAATAAAACATTCTAAAACATTTCTAAAGTATAGCATTTTCTAAATTAGAAAGAGTTATTAGGTTTTAATGTTCAGTAGCTCCTCATGGGTGTAGGAGCAGGCAGAGACGCTATGAAAGTTGAGAAACTAAAGAGAAACCGAGGCGGCCATACGCAGCGCAAACTTTATCGAGAATTTTCAGAATTATTCAAAATCAAAGGCACAAAGGGCATCAAAAGTGTAGAACATATTTTCATTGACATAAAATAGATACAAATAAAATATGTATTAGTACACATATAGAGGATACCCCAAGACGGGGCTCAACCAAGAACCATACACCCACTTCCAAACAAACATGCACACACAGATGGGGAGGAGGGGTTTGATCATTTACTTTCATGTTTATAGCCTCATTCACACTGCTTTACATTCCCATATTGTAGGCACACTGCAAACCTAACAGAGTAACTTTGAGTTTCGAGTGAACCAAGCCCCTTATCTCCATACTTATGTAATTATGCTGTGGAGATGAAGCCCGTAGTAATTAATCATACATAATATCCCAGATGCTGCAGTGTGTCAGTAGTTCACTCCTGCTGCTGCCGGAGTTAAAGCAGGCATAGAGACTTCGCCCAGAACACTAATTAAACTGTTTTCATGCTCTGTTTTACACTTAATAGACATTTACAAAGAGACAACGTCAGCAAATTTCTTTGCAAAAAAAATGCTTGAAGGATTGCCTCAAATTATTGGGCAGCACGGTGGGGTAGTGGTTAGCGCTTGTCCTGGGTTCGATTCTACCTGCAGGCCTTTTTTGTGAGGAGTTTGCATGTTTTCCCCCAGTCTGATCCGGTTTCCTCTGGGTGCTCCGGTGTTCCCTACCACTAAAAACATGCACAATAGGGCGGTACGGTGGCTAAGTGGATAGCACTCTCGCATGGAGGCGAGGTCCTGGTTTCGCATCTCGGTCGGAACAGGGCCTTTCTGAGTGGAATTTGCATGTTCTCCCCGTGTCTGCCTAGGTTTCCTCCTACCACTAAAAATATGCTCAATGTGTAAAATCCTCCAGGTAGTCCTAACCAAACCGAGCATGGGTGATGGGTTTACGGGCGCTGTACTACGGTGACCACTTCTCCTGACGTACGCCAGGATGGGTCAAATGTAGAGGACAAATTTCCCTATGGGGACAATAAAGTGCACATTTTCACAATAGGGTAGGCATGCGCCCCCTGTGTACTGGCGACCCCACTCCCATCTCTGGCCACAACAGTTATAAAGCGCTTTGTGACTCTGGTCTGCGAAAAGCGCTATATAATAAAGATTACTTACTTCCATATTCTTGTGTCCAACAAAGAATATATGAATTGTTGGTTAGCTGTAGATCTTTCACCTCACTACATTAAACATTAAACTGGGAGTGCTGAGAGCGATTGCCATAGCAGCAGCTGACACATTATGAGGTCTGCGGCCGGGTGGGCGAATGAGGGACAAGGAGGGATTTAATATTTTACGTCAATTCAAGCATGATTAATGGGCTATAAGGGAGAAAAACTTCAATGAATGTACACTGACAAACGGGAAGGATCTGTGGGTGAGTGCTGAGTTGGGATTTACCAAAAGGAACATTGGAGTGGGAGGTCTGCGGATGAATCATGAAAGGGAAAGACTGTTGCTGTCACTTCATTTGTCAGAAATAATGGCTCAACTCTCTCCTTTTCAAACAAAATATTTCATAATTGTGGACATCCAAAAGGACATAAGTCTTAAACAACAAGCACACATTTAGTTATGCTGAGGGCTGAGTGATATGGTGAAAAACCTTTTGGAGTATGATTTTGAATACATTTGAAAGAAGTCACTGAAGACTGCTGTTATAAGAATTAGAGCTGGGTGATTTTTCCCTAAAACTGCTTTTTCTCTTAATAATCATTTACGATTTAGTACAAACACATCTCAAAAATAAGTCCTGCCTTTTCTGGAAACTGCTTTAAATCTCATCTAAAAATGTTATCAATTGAATTAATTTGATTGATCGCCCAGACTTAGCTGATATTTTGTTTCTATTTATGCAAGATAATATTTTGGTCCCAGGTTGTGGGTGGCATGTCGAACCAGTGCCTAGATTAGCAACCCCTTGATACATTGCAGACATTATTAATAATTAACGGTGCCCTGTTGTGCAAAATAACATTTCTAAATAATTTAAACCATTTTGAGACTTAGCTTAAGTTTGAGAAATAATAATGATTTTTGAGTAATTTATCTTTGAATTAAAAAACACCTCTGGGCTGAGTGCTGATCCCTTAATGATTTTTCTTGAAAGTTCTAGACCTGAAAGCTTGCGTTGTACTACAAAGTTTGTGAGAGTTTGTGAGATTGAAAACATCACAAATTTCATTTCAAGGTAGCACTAGCTTCTGTGAACATGTTTGAAAAAAGGAATTCACATTCTCTCCTATTCTTCTCGAACCATGTCTGAGTTCAGAAGTGACGTGAAAATCTATTTTTAAGAGTCCCTAGAATTTGTTGCTGAAAATTTCAAAGAACTTCATACATTTCAAAGAACTTCATACATTAAAGCAGCTGAAGGTTTAAGTGTCTGATTTTATTATCAATTATCATATTTTTTGCATTGTTAACCCTGAATATGTTTTGAAGAAATTACTAAAGAAGCCAGTGACATTATTTAGCCCACAGTCTTTTGCATGTGCAGTTGGGCCCCTGCTGTTTTTTGGCCATCTCTGCAAACTCCCACAACTTGTTGAATTAATGGTGGTCAGATTGTCTGGCAACTATGAAATCGCTGGTGAAATCCAAGACAATAGCAAGTGCGTGCATAAATGAGCAGCTGGCATGACTATGAGCCCATCGGACAGATTGTATCAAGACCGAAAAAGAAAACAATTAGAATAATAAAAGCAGTTTGTAGCAAATTGCACAAAGCTGACTTCTTCATGACTGTGATATTGGAGATAGATTTTTGTGTGGGTGAGCGTGGGCGTGCATGTGTCTGTCTGCGTTTGCATCTACGCCGCTCAAAGTCTTGTCAGTTCACTTTGAGAATGATTGATGATAATGTGTTCATCTCTCCTGCCTTGAAATGACCTTTTTTCTGAGTTTCTCTATCCATCATAAACCTGCATAATACAGCAGTGCCTCGTTTTAACCTGTCATGAATTCATATATGTTTTTCTCTCTCTTTCTTTGTTACTTCCAGTTTGCTGTTTTGTGGTCCACAAGAGATGCCACGAGTTCGTCACCTTCTCGTGTCCTGGAGCCGATAAAGGTCCCGACACAGATGTAAGTGATGATGTGTACGTTATAACTCAACTTTCGCCACCTCGCTGTTTTGCAGATTTTTGTGTGTGTGTGTTTTAGTTTTACGTCCAGTCCCGTTCCCCTGGGGTGATTGTTTGCCCCGCCTCCATTTGTTTCATCTGTGTCTATATGCACCCTAACACTACTACATTTCAAATTCTTGGGTTTCATATGACGTCAGGGCAGTGGCGCTAATAACAAACGTAGGATAGGACGTGACGTATCCTGGCGGTGCAGTCTGTCGGGTATATACACGGAGAAATAGCAGAAGAAGAAGCGCTGTCAAAATGCGGTGTACGCTTGTAGCAACTGCGCAAATAGAGAGAAAGACAAGAGTTTCTTCCGTGTTCCAACTGTGATCTCATATAAAAGAGGACACTTTGAAAAAATCACTCGAATGAGGCGGGCGAGTTGGATCAAGGCGTTCCCAGATACTGTAAGTGCCCCCTGCAGGCCACCCGAATGAAACGCAGCACTTTTTTCTGTTTTTTATTTTTTTATTGCCAGGAATCAAGACTCTTTTGAGAAATCTTTTTCAGCATTCCCTTATTATTGAGTGTCCCCCTTATAGACTTTTACAACAACTGTACACCGCACAGGATGAGAACATTTTGATTCCAAAACAGACACAATTTACATAGTTTTCAATGGGAGTTGTCCCACCTCTGCTCATTCGCCCCCTACTAGCCAGTTTAATGAAACCCAAGAATTTCACACATTTGATCACAATTTAATATTTTTAGATTGAAATGTGACTTCCTCACTGTGATTAATGGCAAATCCTCGGAATGTTAGATCAGAATTAATTCCACCAAAATAGGTCAAACCTATTCAAACCTGTAATATGTAAGATGAGATAAGATAAGCTTTATTGATCTCACAGTGGGGAAATTTACATGTCTCATTTGGCATAGAAAGTATCACTCAGACTGTGCAAAAAGACAAAAAATATAGTCAATGCAGGATATAATATGTACTTTCTGCTATCATGGCTTCAAATAATAGCATTACGTTTTTTATTATAGACATATACAGGAATGTGGAACGATCTGCCATGATTTAGAATCTGGAGACTATTTCCCATTTATTCCAAACCTTGCATTTTACAATTAACTATAAACCCACGTTTTGATCCCTCAAAGTAAAAATAACCGTTGCTTCATCAACATTCATCAGACCCATCTGCTTTCAATATCTGAGTAATACAATTGCTTTTGTCGAACATGAAAGTCATTGTCGTTATAGTGATGACAAATTTGTTTCTGACAATTTTTAATATTATTTTATGTCATTTTGTCTGTTTTTCAAGTTTAATAAACATAGTAATCTTAGTTATTTCTCTTTCATTTTTTATCATTGTTCTCCATTTTAATTTGAGGATGCCATGTGCAATCTTTACTTAACTTTGCACCTTGTTCTGCTCTGTTTTGATTAGCCTCCAATGCGCTGTATACACTAAACAGACTGAGCTGAGTTGTCGATGAGTCACAATATTTTCACGATAATAACAGACTCTGACTTTTCTCTCTAATAGTTAAAACTACTATCAATCTATTTTTTGGCCCCCGATAAACTATCCTTATTTCATATTCTATAGGATTTACCCTAATTAGCTTATTGCTCTTTGCGTGGGAGCTGCAGATATAGATATACAGTATGCAGATATACGTCCTGACAAGCGCCCTGCACATGATGGCACGCTAATTATTACTTCATCCCACTCAGTGAATATTCTTTGTTTTACTGTCAGTGTTCTTACATGTTTGCACACTTCTTTCTTTGCAAATTTTTTTTCTTCTTCTATCCATGCCAGCTCAATAAAGTCTATCTTATCTTATCTTATCTTATCTTACGACCAGTGTTATTTTTTTCTTAGTATTCTTGAAATAAACTAAACTAAAAAACAAATTTGACAGTGAATGGTAGAAAAGAAAAATATATAGTTAATAGTTAATAATAAATACTTAATAGTCAGTAAATAACCATCAAAATGACCTCAGAAAGGGACTGAACCAGTTTAGTTTATCTAACAACGGTATGTTAATTACTATAATGACTTAGTTCAATAACCTATGAACAAAACTATATTTTGGTTGTTAATATTTGTCATCTTTACATTTTCTTTGTTATATTAGAGAGATGTTTCGCCGTTTTCTTTTCTAAATCAGTAAAGTTTTAGCTGTGGGAGGTTCAACATGCCTAAATATTAATATTATTCTGCATGCTTTTAAATTAAAATGATTCATTGTGAAAAGGGACTGGGAGGATCCTGCTTTTTGTACAGTGGCATTAAGCAGTTTCAAAATGATTGCAATAATTGTCAAAAAGTAAAAATGTCAATATGAGTTATCGTTCGTGACAGACCTTTTCTTCAATTTAAGACATTTTAATTGATATCAGTGTACACACCTGTCAGAGGGCCATTTGTTACAATCATTTTCCATTTTACAAATATTTTTTAAACCTGCTTATTAATCAACTAATTTACTGGTGCTGCGGTGCATAGTTTTTCAGGCAATTTAGATTTGGGGAAGTTTTATTTCATTTTTTTTACCTTGTCAAGACTTTGGCTTTGTCTTGCTCCAGGTTCAATTCATCATGAGCTATTGTTAATTCTGTCTGAGTCGTAGGCTAACTTCTTGTTATTCAGTGATTCTTCTGCTTTGTCTGTCTTGGCTGCCTGTCTATCCCCTGCCAAGTCTCTCTCCACATACACACCTTCCACTCAGCCTTCAAGTGCCCATTGTGAATACCACTGTTATTGTGCCAGCCCATTCTGCCACACAAGAAGTGGGTCTCTAAGGATGAGCCTCTGAATCAAATGATACCGGACAATCTCAATCTTCTATTTCCTCTTTAAAAACTTCTGCAGCTCAAAAAAAAAAAAGCATTTATTTTTGTTCTGCGCTTGGCAAAAATTCAATAATAACCTTTCAGCTCATTGGAATTCATATTTTTTATTTTCCTTTTCTTTAGGCAAATCTATTCAGACAGAGCCATCCTTAGAGGCTGGAAGATGGAGCGATGACTGGCATTGATCGCTACGCTAAACATTAAATCAATTGCACATATTTTTCAATTCAACTCGGGGTGTTTTGGAAATGAATATGGAAGCGGCCTTGAGACGTTTTTCTGCATCGCGCCCTCGCCTGTATTGGATAATCAGGTTCCTCATCAAAGCAAAGCTCGAAGTAATTATAGGGAAAATAACCAATTACAATTTACAAGTGGCATTTTTACTTCACTTTCTTATATTTATTTATATTTTTTAAAACAAAATTCATCTGATACTACTACGTTTTTGTTTTATTTAAGTATTTATGCAGCGTAACCGTGATGGGGGAATGTTCCATCATGTGGCATTAAGAAAAGTTGTAACCATGGGGACAAGCAGACAATGCTCAAACAAGCCAAATATCAGTGATGCACAAAAGAGGCCCATGGTAACTCTGGAGGAGCTGCAGACATCCACAGCTGAGGTGGGAGAATCTGTCCACAGGGAAAACTAAGGGCCTCATTTATCAATTCAGGTGCTAAACTGCGGGTTGCAAGTAATGTAGCGTGTGCAATTTCTCCGGTTTCCTTACATAGAATATGTGGATGATTAATGAGTTAAACCAATTATAAGGGGTGCTAATCACTTTTGCACTGAAACACTTGATAAATGAGGCCATGTGTGTCATGCACTATACACATCTGGCCTTTATGGAACAATGGAAAATTGAAAGCCTGTGTTGAAATTAAGCCGCAAGAAGCGATGTGAGGGAGACATCCTTCATGTGAAAGAAGATCAGATGAGAACAAAATGAACTCAATGAAAAACACAATGCATGACAGAAACCTTAACACAGCTCATAATATTACACCGTTCCTAGAGTCAAACCTGGGGGTGGCAGTATCATGTTGTGGAGTTGAAGTGGTGGTGGATGGATCTTGAGAAGCTTTGGCGTGTCATGAAACTCTGCATGATGAGAGATTCTACATTAAAGTTGGTGTTCATAACTTTTTTGTTTCATAAAGAATCTTGTACAAATGACATTTTGTGAACCAATTAGACCACGCCATTATGTATTTATTTGCTGAAAGCTGATTTGCTGAGTGAGGTTGGTCCTCTCGTTTTAACTTTTCTGCCTGAAAAAGCTGATCCAAAGTTGTGATGAGTCTCTTGATGTGCAAAGAGACATCCTGAAGACCCTAAAAGACAGAAGAAAAGGTGATTCTACAACATATTTTGATAATTTTTATTTGATAATAAAATCACTTCACAAAGTTTCACTCTAAGTTTGTCACTTAGAGTGGTCTTTCATATACAATTAAATATTATCTGGTTTAGGGTTGTAATGTGACAAAGTGCAACAGTCCCTGGGGTATCAATACTTCAGCAAAGCACTGTAGTGACAGAAGGGTCCCTCTTTATTAGAGTTTTGTTGGAAGAAATATTGCTTTATGTATTATGCAGGATGGATTTTGAATTTGAATGGAGATCATGAAAGTGAAATCTCACTGGGACCGAGACCCTGGTGGTGGAAGCCGAGGAGGAGAAGGATTGTAGCATGTGCTGAAGCTTAGTGGAAATTTGTGCGGCTCTGTTTGAAATGCAGTTTTGTAGAATTCAGGCATAGCAGGTGACCACGGGAGATATTCCAGTCTGCACACGCTTCAAAATACCCTAAATGAAATTAAATAAATTAAATAATAACAAACAAACTTCTACTTTAAAATGTACTTTTTGCTATTTAATTATTCCTATAAGCTCACTGCCTTGTATTGTATTCATGGGGTAATGTCGATTATTGCTCTCCTCTTGACATTAGTGTAAGAGTCACACATGGCATCACACACACACATGATTTTGGCCCTGCAATTCTTGTCCGTCTCAGCTCACAGAGATGACTCAGAACACATATCAATCGTCTCTGCCTTCTCCCCTCACTCCCGATACCACTGCCACCTCTGGCCCTGGGCGGGTGAATCATCATCGC